AGTGGCCTCGGCCGCTGCTCCTGTGTATTATTGTGACTCAAGCTATTTCCTGTTTGGGGTTTGGGAGAAGGAAAAAAAAAAAACCGAGGATGGGGGCAGGGGGATTGGGGCGGCAGTGAGCCAGAGAGCTGCGGCCTGGAGGGGACTAGAGTGGGCAGCAGCTGTCGCCTGCCTCCTTTGAGCCCCCGAGAGTGCTAAGCGCGCGCGAACCCCGCTAGAGAAACGGAGCTTATTGCGGCGCTACTTTGGGGGTATCGGGAAGGACCTAGTGGGGCTCACACACGCCACCCAGCGGTGGGGCAAGGGCTGCGGCCGCAGGGGCCGCCTTGTCACTTGAGCCCGCGCGCCGGCTCCCCTGCCTCCTTCCTTCTCTACATAACTGCGGTTAAGCGTTCTTCCCGCCCAAGGGCGAGCGGAATTTACTGTGCTGCTTTCTTTATTCGTGCCCAGGTCGGCTTGTCGATCTTCTCCAGGGAGGTGGGCAAGGAAGGGGTCAGATTGGCTACCCTTTCAAAGACAATGGGAGGATGGTTGTGGGCCGTTGAGGGTGTCTGATTGGTGTTGGGGGTCTTTATTTGTTGGGGTGGGATAGGAAAGCAGGTTAATTATTTTGATGGAAAGTTAACTTTTATGATCAGCTTCCGTTCCCCTCCTCCACCAACCTCACCCTTAGCCGGGGATCACAGGGTCTGAGACTCCAATCCGGAAATACCGGTTCTTCCCGCTGGGACAATAGGTGAGGGCGGGAGCGTTGACCCGAGAGCCGGCTTAGTCACAACGGGGATCCTTGCTCAGCTGGAAAGGCAGAATCGTCCTAATGCCTCAGTCTGCAACTGGCAAGCAGGTGTTCCTTCCATTTAGTCCTGCTTAAAATTCTGGGAAGGTTATGAGGACTTACTGTTTAATGGGTGCAGAGTGTCGATCTGGGATGATGAAAAAGTTGTAGAGATGGATAAAGCTGTTGGTTGCACAACAATGTGAGTGTACTTAATGCCACTGAATTGCGTGCTTAAAAATGGTTAAAATGATCAATTTTGTGTTATGTGTATCCCTCCCCCCCAAAAATCCTGGGAAGGTCACGCCCTTATTCATTCAAGATAGCTTTGCGTATGATTGCCAAGCCCTCCTCTCCTACCTGCACAAACCTTTGCCAGAAGTGGTGGAATGAATAAAACTCAAGTTCATTTAGTTTAGACTTCTGGGGGTACTTACCAAGAAGTTATTCCAAGAAGTGGGTAGACTGAACCTAGAGGACAGTATCCTTTTTAAAAAGATGAACAGTAGTTTGAAGCATAAAGTGTTAGCAAGATAAATAAAGGTGTATATGGTATCTTACTCTATCTAAGAAAGCAGGAATACATAATACATTTGCTTATTTTTTAATGGAAGAATAAATTATTAAATAAAATGGTTACCTATTGGAGAGAGATGGAACAAGATGAAAAGTATGAGTGTAGAAACTAGACTTCTCTGTCTTACTTTGTGTATTTGACTTTGGAATGATGTAAATTTTACATAATTATGAAAAAATTAAATCAGAAATTTAAAAAAGCAAAAGCAAAATGCAGCAAATGAATGTCAGTATCAAGTTGGTGGCTTAACCATGTATAGGGGAATTTTGTCAGGTGACTTTAAAGCACACTTCTTTGACTCTGCATCCCTTAGGAATATACCCTGAGGATAAAGAGAATGTTAAAAACAAAAACCTATAAACTACTTCTCAATAATCATAATATTAGTAGTAAGTAATTTATGTTAATGTTCTTAATATTTTTCAGTTTAAAAGAGATCAACTTAAGAGTTAAGCAATATTAAATTGGAATGGGAATTATTTAGAATTCACAATATATTTTCTTTAAAAAAATTCCAAGTCTATTTACTCAAAATGTCCACCAAACAGTGACCAACGTGGTAGGAATAAGTACTCTTAGATCCAAGGTTGTGGTCTCTACCATTTTTCCCTAAAAGGAATTATTCCTACTTGAAAAAGTGATTGATTTTAGGTTAGGGGCAAGAAGTATCCAAAATAAGAACTTGTCAATTCAGAAAATAAGGAAGCTATCAAAAACTAAAGGTTCACATGAAATGTAATTGGGAGCCAACTTGTATGTAGAAGCACCCACTGACCAAAGTGGGCTAAATTTGAGCATCAATAAGAAAAATAACTGCAATGAATTGAGACATATCAGATATGTACATATCCTGAATCATAATGATACTTAAAAAAGCACAATTGGTTAACGTTTCTGTTGCAATAGAACTAATTCACTATTTTGAAAGCTGGTAAATTACAAGAGAAAGAATTATACGTTTTACCTGCCTCTTCTGTACCACTTCAGATCTTCTTTGCCTCACTTGTCTCTTATTCAGGCCACTGCTGCAGCAACAAGTTCTAGGTGGGCTCTGTCCAGCTTCATGCAGAAACAACCCAAAATAACATCATCTCCTACCTCCTACCCCAGTGCTGCTTTGTTAATGTCAGTTTGGGGATTTATGGAAACTATCTAGGTGCCTATGCATATACCACCCTGAAGAGAGGATGAGTTAATGTTTCATGGTCTAACCTTTGACCGGTAGAGGATAGAAACTGATAAAGATTTCTTCTTGCCCCAGGATGAACTATCCTGAGACTCAGTTTGTATTGAGTGAGACTCAGTCTATATGGCTTCTTAGAAATCAAGTCACAGAGAATCAACCAGTCAGGTGCTTGAAGCTGTAGCCTTGCTGGGTGAAGCTCCCATGAATTGGCTCTTTCAGCTTCCCCACTCCTCACTTATTTCCCCAAGACTGTACCTTCAATAAAGCACGTGTCTCAAGACTCTGCTTCCTGGGAAACCCAGGCTAACAAATGTACAAGCAGTGTGTCAGGATAACTAAATAGTTGATGAGGAAATTATTTTAGCAAATAAGGAAAGACAAAATTTGAATATCAGCATTTTCCAAGACCCTA